TCCAAACATCCACCTGCCTACCCAAAAAGTCGTGATGACCTTATTCGTCGGAATGATGACGTGCCTTATCCAGCTAAACTTTATGTCGAGCCATACACCTTGGTATTTCACCTCTTCAGAAAAGCCCAGTACTATATCATAAATAGCGGAAGGGTCAACGACACTTTCTCCTATTAGTAAAGCATCATCTCTGTCTTGCCTGGGTTTACTCTGAATCCATGAGAGGTGCACCACTGCTGCACATAGTCCTACGCTTTTTGCATTTTGAAGATGACACCGATCTATCTGATGATGGATGTCTCAATCTCAAAGGATGCCCTTTCCATAATTCCAAAAGAAGTTTTTTCAAAAGCCCCCTCTATGTCAATAAGGATAGCGGGGATATTCTCCCTCCTTTCCTTTGATCTTTCTATTTTTGCAACCAGATTGTGGAATGCAGTCTCAGTTGATCTGCCCACCTGATATGCATGCTGTAAGGGGCTAATGGGATGTATTTTCAGCACTCCCTCTTTAATGCACCTGTCAATGAGCCTCTCCAGCGTCTTCAGTAGGAAAGAGTTCAGGTTGATAGGCCGATAAGTTTTGGCGTTATCATAGCTGCAGTTACCCGATTTAGGAATAAGCACAATCCTGACTTTCTGCCATCTTCTTGAGACATGACCTAGAGCAAGGTATGCCCTTAGTGTTGCTAGCAGCCTATGCAGAAGCAGCGGTCCCCTTCTCCGTAGAAAAACCAGGTATACACCATCAGCACCCGGACTCTTGTACATTTCAACGCAGTCTACCGCCTACCGCAGTCTTCGCATCGTCAGAATTTTCGAGGACAACCCCCAATCGGACCTGCCCTCGCCTGGCTGTACTCAATCTGATCCAGAGTACATTCCCTCTCCCTGTATGATTGAGTCGGGGAAGCGTACGTGGATCGGGTGTTCCCGTATTTCATTTGGCTGGGTGATAGCAACACCACCAGGCACTATAATTCCACTCAAACCTTGGGTGGGTTTCCCGGAGAAAACCCTGCGAGGCCTAGCCACCTGGGACAGTGCCTCCAGCTCTTCACCGAAGGTCCTCCATACTGACTGCTTTGATTTTTAATGACATTATTAAACTGCCTCTGTACCTTCCTATACTGAGTCTAATCTTCATCGCTTTTGGTGCAGTACACTTGGTTCCAAAGTCGCCTGGGCACGCCTCTTAGTTTACCGAGTTCCCGATTCCACCATTTAACGTTCCTTCCAACCCTGCATGGTCTGATCGGACATGTCTGATGGAAGAATTCGGTTAGGGCCCCGAGTAGTTTGGTGCCAATAACGGAAATTTCCAGCACACGAGAAATGGAGCACTGGTCACTTTGGTGACGATCACCGACATGACCACCCATGTGAAATGTCTCGTGTGACGGAGATGGCCCTCTACAAATTTGACACCACCCGCGCAACCCCTCCAACGTGCTAAAAAGAAAAACTCGAAAATAGAAGTTCATACTCCGAAAAAGTGGAGTTACTATATTTTTTGAAAAAAATATGGTCAGGACGGGACCAAGGCGAAATTTAAGTGCACTGAAAGGCCAATGTAATGTTTTTTGAAGTCACATATATATTTAATATAATAACATATATGCATGTAACGAATTTTTTGGCACATTTTCTCCTAGCTAATGTAGTCTTTGAGGACATGCGACTGTTTTGAGGACAGTCCTCACAATTTTTTATATGAACTGCAAGTTTCGGGGACGGATCTTAACGCAGACACGATGAAATAAAAGGGAACTTTGAGAACTTCAAGCCTACCCAACCACCAACGGGGACGCTGTCCTCAAAATGTTTTGCAGTAATGTGTATATTTTGGAAGGAATTCCGCAGGAATCCTTTAGGAGTACGTAAGGGTAACGCAGGAGAGAGGGACTTCGCGTAAACGAGAAATTTTGTTGAGAAGGGAATGACCTTCGAGAAATTATGGGTTGGGTTGGGTCCGTGTTCGGTTTTAGGTGGAAGGCTCTACGGGGATAGCCAAGGTCGCGAATGACAGATTTTAATTACGTTTGAGAATGGAACTCAACGGAAAAGTTGGGTCAATATGTCCCACCCCGACATCCATTCTTTTGATTTGCATATTGCTATACAAGGGGCGAAAGTTGCGCATATGATCGCGCGTGTGTTTGCCTCTCGAGCGCAGCGAGCTTGTTGACCAAATTTTTTCGTTTTAATCCCTTCAGATAAGCCTGACGAAGCCCCTACTTCTCGAACCTGAACCCTAAACGAGATGATATGCTCAACTTCCGGCCCATATAGCATACTATTTTTCACTATATCTTTGCACCGTAAGTTCGTAATAAATTCATGCAAAACACAGAAAATAATATTATATTAAAAGGAAAGGTTAGGAATTTTTTGAAGCGCACTACTTTTCCCTCACTCTCTAACTACTTTGTGGAAAGTCGCGCCATGCAATGTGAGAGAAATTGATATTTAAACCGTTCCCTGTTTCAAGTAGTCAAAATATCTATGTCTTTATCCCTTCCCTCAGATATTTAAATTTCTGTAAAAAACGCTTACATAAAATTGAAAATAATGAATTTTATAAATTAAAAAAAATTGGTATTTTCTTCCACAAACGTATAAAATTTATGTGAAATGGAAGAATACAAATTAAAATAACGCCAAGAACTACAATTAAATTTCAATGATTCTTTATTAGGCATTTTTCTTCGATTAGTTTTGAAGGATAAAATAATGATAAGTGAATTACAATTACACATTTTTTGGTTATTCATTTTTAGAGTTAGAATAATAATTTTTTATTATCAAATTATTGATCGTGCAATGTTTCACTATGAAAATAGGATTATCCAAGGCACGGTTCTTAATAATTCTCTCAACAGTCTCTTCTCTGTTCGTTGATTCTCTTCGCGACTCGCTCTGTTTTTGTTGTTTGGATAGTTCTCTAGTAGACAAATTACCAAGTGATGGAACTGGCATCTTCAAAGATGAACTATGCGACTTTAAATGTACAGGAAACGAACATGGTCTCATCAAGTTATCCATCGATGCAGGGGGTTTTCTAGAACCTGAGGTGTTGATGTTTGCACTGTCCGTGCTTGAGGATGCTGTTTCTAGGTTATTATTGTTTAAGAATGCTGAATTGAAATTTTGCAGTAAGTCGTCATCAGAATAATTTTCCGACTGTTTGTTGAGATAACTGTTTCGGTGGAAAATTTCTGATGATGGATGAGATGAGGACGGATTTTCAGGAAACGTTGAGCGGGTCAAAGAAATCACTGCACGCGGGTTTTAATATGTCACCAGAAGTCAATTTTATTATTGAAAGAGTCACTGCGATTATCACAAAAAATTGAATTAATATAAATTGAGCGGAAATAATGATGTAATTCGAGCGGATCACTATTTATAATAGTTGAGCAGTACCGGCAAAACCGTAATTGATTTTCCGTAGAAAAGAGTGGTGAGCGGTTCAGCGAAAGTCGTATACGCACAGTAACGTTTGATATGCCAATGGGAGAGATAACCCTGCTATAATTTGGCAGGTGATACAGTTGAGGCGGTCACATGACCTGATTACATTATCTATATACAATCAAGGTGAGCTGTCCAGGAAGTGGCGCCTCAGGTGTCAAAAGTGATGACCCCTTGGTCATCCGAGGTGAGAGCGTCAGGTGTGCGTGAGTGGAGGAAGAATGGATGAGCCGCGCGTGAATGTGTGTGAGTGCCCTGTCAGCTGATCGGATTTCCAACGTTCGCCCCGGCCGTCGGCAACTGTAAAGTTGTTGACCTGAACCATAATGAACTGAAACAGAACGAGAAAATCAAAACGATCTTAGCGAGATGATGATTTTCTTCACTCATGAACTGCCCGATGGGCCGGTCCGGAGTGTGCGCTGGCTAGGTATGCCAGCATCCTCGACGTCAGGGATCGTAAATCCCTTCTGCGTTGGCTGCAGTCATTCTCGCGTTGAACCCAGTCGATTAGTCAGGGTCGTAAATCTGTCGAGGTTGACGAAGTCCAACGGTCAGAAGCCGATCCCACGCCGACTTGAAAAGCGTCTATACGCTGCGATGAACCCTTCGGCTGAGTAGTCTGACACGACCTCGACATGGACCGCTGAGGTGAGGACTTGTGTCCCCGCCCTTTCCAGGACCGTAGAGCCACTGGGCCGGCATAGTCGATCCCAGTGTTGATAAAGGCTCGAGCGGGAATGAGTCTGGCTGGTGGCAACTGGCCCATGAGCTGTTGAGCGCGTACTCCACGTTGGCGAGCGCAGTTAACGCATTTGAGTATGAAGGAGCGTACTGGTGCCCGGCCTCCGAGTATCCAGTAGTTGCTTCTGAGCTGTCGCAGGCTGAGTTGTGTGCCTCCGTGGAGTGTCCTTAGATGAGCTTGTCCTATGAGTAGTTGAGCCAGTCGAGATTCCTTCAGAATGATGACTCGATTTCGGCTCTCTTGGCCTATATGAGCAAACTTGAGGCATCCGCCAACTCTCAGTACCCCTGAGTGATCAATGAAGGGTGTGAGTTTGGTGAGCGGGGAGATTTACTGAACCTCTCCCCGCGTGAGATCACTTTGAGTTGATCCTTGAAATGAGCTGCCCGTGTGAGTTTGATCCAGAGGATCCGAACCTCTTCCAGATCACCAAGTGTGAGCGGCTACCGAAGAGATGAATGACGGACTCTCCTGAGCCGAGCGATGAATCTTCGACAGATTGCTGTGACCCTGAGCAGTCGGTTGAGCGATGAGAATCTGTCGATGAGATCCCAGAGAGCGACCGGTTGAGTCTTGACATGCAAGAGAACTCCTGGCTTCTCCCCGAGGTCTACGCTAAGGTCCTTTTCCAAAGCGTGAGTCGACCATGATGAGCCGTCCTATTGAAGCCATGGCGGCCCTGTCCACCACAGCTTATGAGCGACCAGCTGATGTGCTGATAGACCTCGAGATGCACAATCTGCAGGATTCTCCTTACCTGATACCAATCTCTAGTGAGCATGTTAAGTGAGGTCCTGAATGAGTGATACCCGATTCTTCACGAACTCCTTCCACCTTGATGAGTGAGAGCTGATCCAGGTGAGCGTGACCGATGAGTCCGTCCAAAGACAAGCTGTGGCGTTCGTGAGATTGAGTCGGTCCTTGACGTACTTGGTCAGTTTGGCAAGAAGAAGAGCTGCGGTGAGTTCTAACGGTGGGATTGTCAGCCGTTTGAGCGGTGCGACCTTCGTTTTCGAGCAGACCAATGTGAGTTGAGGTTTCCCGTTGTTGAAAACCTTGAGATAGACCACGGCTGACCTCGCCACCTGCGATGCATCGGAAAAACCGTGTACTTCAACGACGGAATCCGTGAGCAGTCCAAGCCACCTGGGTATGGTGACCTCCGACAACTGGGTGAGTTCATCCCTGAATCGCCGCCAGCGTTGCGCAGTTGTCGGTGAAACTGGTTCGTCCCATCCCTGCTTCTCGATCCATAGAGCCTGGAGCAATATCTTGGCTCGTACAACCACTGGTGCTGAAAAGCCCCGTGGATCGAAGAGTTGAGCCGTCTCCCATAATATTGTCCTCTTCATAATTGAGCTGGTCTGAGGCTGAGTGACGGAGAACTGGAAATTGTCCGTCCCTGGATGCCAGGGAACCCCAAGAATCTTGGTGATTGAGTTCTCTATGGACCGTTGATCTTGAGAGGTGCTGTCAGGTTGAAGAGATGTGAGTAGGGCTGGGCTATTCGAGTGCCATTTGGCTAGTGAGAAGCCTCCTGACAGACAGAGCCGCGTCACCTGGTGAGCGGTCCTGAGTAGCTCTTCAACTGAATCGGCACCTCCGCAGATATCATCAACATATTTTCCTTTTATGAGCGGTTCCACAGCGAGGGGATACTTCGACCCTTCATCCTCGACCAGCTGATGAGCTACACGTATGAAGAGAAATGGAGCTGACCTTGTGCAATACGTGACCTTGGTGAGCTGATAGGTGACGATATCTCCGTTTGAGTCGGTCCATAAAATTTGTTGGAGCGGCCAATCCTCCGGATGTACTCGAATTTGACGAAACATCTTGGTTATGTCCGTCATGAAAATGAGCCGTTTCCGCCGCGAAAAGAGAACTACATCCGAGATATCCTTCTGCAACTTCTCACCCGTGTGCATGATGTAGTTCAACGATTGTCCTGAGCTGGTCTTATTGGAACCGTTGAAAACAACTCTGAGCTTCGTTGTCTCACTGCTTGCCCTGAGAACTCCGTGATGAGGGAAGAAGTACTTCGGTGCGGACTGAGTCGGAGGAGACCACGTACCGCCTGGAACCCTCAACCCTCCTGAAGCCGAAACTTCATGTGCCAAGGTCATTCCAGGGGCGTTGCGGCCCCTCGTAAGCTGGTCTGAGAGAGCTGAACTGATAGATGAGCCGGATACTCTCCGCATGTGATCCAATTCCTCGTATTCCTTGAGGAACGCTGAGTACAGCTGACGATAAGCCTCATCACGTGAGAGTTTCTTGAGCAGACAATGGAGGCAAGCGAGTGTCGACGATCTGGAATCTCCTAACGATGAAGCTGGAGATTTGAGCGGTATCCGAACGATCTAGCGACCGGAGGAATCCCTTGAGTGGGTCCGTTGAAGGTGTTTTTCACACTGAGCTTCTTCCTCGTTGAGCTGAACCTCTGGAGTTTCAGGGACCTCTTCCTGGATCCAGAATTTGGTGAACAGTTCATTGAGATCATCGCTTGTGACCGTTAAATGAGAAGTGGCCTTTTGAGAAGTATCAGAACCTTCCGTCGGTCCGAATACGATCCATCCTAACCGCGTGACCTGAGCTGAAGGTGAGTGCGGTCCACTGGTGATGACTTGCGGTAAAATGAGCTGCCCATAGACATCAGCGCCTAGAAGGATGTCAATTGGTGCTGGCGTGAAAAAATCAGGATCAGCTAGGTGGAGTTCCCCCAGATGATCCCATGTGAGCTGACTTGATGAAAATGCCGATAATGAGTTGCTAAGCTGGCCGAGAGCATAGGCAGAGACCCTGAGTTGAAAAATAGAGTAAGTGGACTGTATAGTGCAGGGATGGGCAATCTCCAGGTAGCTCGGAGCAGAGCCATAAACTCGAATTAGAAATCCAATAAAGTTTACAACCATTTCAATAATAAGGGTCTTAGTACTAGCATAGTGGGGGCAGTAGTGGGGGCTTCACAGGTACTAAGGTGCTAACTGAGAACGAAGATCGGCACCGATTGATTGAATTCTTCGCATTATTGTGCGTCTGGAAAGCGGTAAATTTTCCACAAATCTCGATATTCTTTCATTAAGTACGGTTTCTCGAAATAACGTTTCCATGTGGGTCCGAAAGAGCTCTTTATATTTTTCACCGGCACAAAATGATGATTTTTCTTTCGCGATTT